CGCCTGCCTCTGCCTCCCGAGTGCTGGGATTAAAGGCGTGTGCCACCAATGCCCAGCATGAAGTGTTCTTATAAAAAGCTCATGTATTGAAGGATTGGTTCCCAGCTTGGGGTCCAGTCCTTGTGAAGTGGCTGAATTATGATAACTCTGACTTAAGCAATTCTTATTTGATGGCAGTATGTTCAGGTGGTAGAAGTTTTAGGAGATACGTAGCATTGAGGTCTGTACTACAGAAAGGCATATCCTGTCTCAAGGCTCTTATCTCTCTAACTTTCCCCTCCTGTCTTCCATCTTTCTGTTGTCCTCCTGTTCCCCACAAGGTGAGCTATGCTTCTCCTTCTGTTTCCCACAATCATATCTATCACACACGAACTATCAGAGAAACAGTAAAGGAAACAAACATTCAGCTAATTGAACCATTTAAATTCTGTCTATAAATTATGACTTCTATCTTCATGGCAAAACAATAACACAATCCTGTGGGCCCGCAGGGTCATTCCTAGTTTGAGCATGGTAATTGACCATGACTGAACGGTGGGTTCTAGGAGCATGGCTGTTTAGCTTTCAGTAGGGAAGCTCTGGCACCTGATGTAAGAGATCAGATTTGCTGCAGACAGCTGATGTCTGGAAACACGGACGAAATGAGAGACTGGCGCAAAGTGCTTAGAGGGAGATGGGGCAATGTAGATCAATTCTGTTTGGGTCCAGAGTAAGCTCTGAAAATAGTTAGGTACAGGAAGCGCCATAGACTTTTGCTTACCTTATCAGCAGGGGGAGCTACAGTCTAATAAGGGGGCATACTGTCTGTTGTGGACAAACGACCACAGGCTTGAGTGGGCAGGGACAGAGAAGGAGGAAATAATAATGGTCAGTCCGCTAACTGTTGTGTTAGTGCTGTGTCTGTGTGGCTGCAGGCACACATGGACTCTTCTTAGATGGTCTTAGATGTTCTTCGATGGTCATCTGTAGACATGACAGTTGTTTGAAGTGGGATACTCAAGAGTTATAAGTCAACATACCACTCAGCAGGAGGGAAGAGAGTAGAAAGTAAGGGCCACAAGAAATAGGTTGTTTCAAAGAAATAATTAATTTTTATGTGTACAAGTGTATGTATGTATGTATGTATGCATGCATGCATGCATGAGCACCATGTACATGCAGTGCCCATGGAGGCTAGAGATGGTGTCAGGTTCTCCAGGACTAGAGCTATAGATGATGATTGTGATTATAACCCACCATATGGGTTTTGGGAATCAAACCTAGGTCCTCTGGAGTGAGCTATCGCTCCAGTCTCCAAATCCCTTTCTTTCTTTCTTTCTTTCTTTCTTTCTTTCTTTCTTTCTTTCTCTTTTTTTTTTTGAAGACCAAGTCTTGCTATGTAACGCCCAAGCTAGCCTTGAGATTTCAGTTCTCCTGTCTCAGCCTTCCAACCACTTGGATTACAGACATGTGCACTATGCCTGGCTTAGGACATGGACCTTTGGACCATAGCGCATATGCCACATCTGTAAAGTGAGATAATACTGTCACAGGGACAGCCAGTGGTCATCAAGTGGGTCCTGCCTGTAGGTACTATGAGCAAGAAGGGCCTTTCACTCTCTTGTCCTCTTTAATCTGCCTGCTTCTTCAGCCTCAGTGACTTTTCTACCTTCTCTGGTTCCTGCTTCTAGTCTTTATTTGGTTTTGGTTTTTGTTTTTTTTTATTTCCTTTCTCTCAGATCTTAATGTTCTCAGAGCCCCATTTTTAGCTTGCATCTCTTCTCAATTTGGAACCTGTCCTATCCACTTATCCTTTCTCATGCCATCTTTGTGGCTAATTACTAGAATCTACATGCTTAGTCCAAACCTCCTGAGCATCTTATACTCCATAGCTCATGGGGTATGCACACTTGACTATTCTAATGGCATTTCAAACTCAACCCTCATAAAATGAGAACAACCAGTGGGTTTCTCATGTTTTGACTGGACTTTATTCGTCAGTTACTCAGGTGTTAAATCAGGAGTCCCCCCTGCATTGGCCTAGCTAGGCTATCCCCATCTACCTTGTCCACCTGCTGTCTGTCTCCCTGGGCCCTGCCTCATCGCATATCGGTATTGATATTTCCACATTCCTTCACACTGCACTCACAATAGTCTACCCATCGCGGACCAAGCTTTTTCTGGTGAGAAAGGCAGAATGTCATGGCATCTCAGGACTGACAACACCTAAGTCATAAAACCCCTTATATCTTCTTCTCTGCCCCTCTTGGCAGTGCAGTCCTCTGCCCCATCTCTCCAATCTCCCAGCAACGAGTCCACTGGCTTACTTGTAGCACATGTCCCTATGCCTTGGCAAGCGCCCTTCCTGGGCTGGAAAGGAAGGTTAATGGGTGCTTGGTTCTGCAGTAGCGAGCTGTATAGAATGTATGGCATAGGTTCAAGCCCTTAGCGTAGATATTTTCTTTGCAAGGCAAGTTTCCCTATGCCAGCGATCTTGTTCCATTTGGTCCCCAGATTCTGCTATAGTAGAAAAGACATGGTGAGTGGTGCACTTGGTAGAAAG